GGCCAACTGGACGAGGGAAGAACAGAAGGAGCCACTTTCTCAGTGTTGGGAGGAGAGTTGTGCGGGTGCAACGCAAGAGACCCAGCAAAAGATGTTCAGATACTAACTAACAGAGGGATGGACTGGCTATAGCATTCAGCTGTGATTGGCGTAGCTGTCTGGCCTGCGTTCATTGATTGAGTAGTATATCCTTATGCACAGTCACTCATGCCCTCGTCACGTCTCGCCTGGACTACTGCAACGCTCTCTACATGGGGCTCCCCTTGAGGAGCACCCGGAGGCTCCAGCTGGTGCAGAATGCGGCCGCGCGGGTGATTATGGGAGCGACATGGTGCTCCCACGTAACACCTCTCCTGCGCGAGCTGCACTGGCTCCCGGTGGTCTTCCGGGTGCGCTTTAAGGTGTTGGTTCTCACCTTTAAAGTGCTCCATGGCTTAGGGCCAGGGTACCTACGAGACCACCTGCTGCTACCGATAACCTCCCACCGGCCAATACGCTCTCACAGAGAGGGCCTCCTCAGGGTGCTGTCGGTCAAGCAATGTCGGCTGGCGGCCCCCAGCGGGAGAGCCTTCTCTGTGGGGGCACCCGCCTGAGTCCCTTTTGGGAGAAGGGCGGTATACAAATTAAATAAAATAAATAAAATAAATAAATAAATCTTAGGTAGCCATCATTAAGCCGACCTGGGGAACCTTGGCTGCCACACATCAGAGGACAGAAGAACAGCTGTAGCGCAAGAGAAGCGAGCGCTCCGCAAAGGCAGAGTTGTCAATGCTGCAACAATGGTGCCCATACGTGTCGGCCCAACATGTGGCAGAGGGTTTTGTGCCCTTATCAGCCTTACCAGCCACCTGTGGACACATTGTGGATAGCCCACAACCTGTTAGACGTCAAGGGCCTCTTTGAACACGATGGACGAATATCATCAGGTAGCCATCCTATAGCTTCTTGGGCTATATGAAGAGGCTGTTCTCTCCTGTGGCCGAGTTATTACAACCCTCCATTTAGTGACTGTTCAAAATTACAATGGCATTGAAAAAAAAAATGACTCGTGACCATTTTCCATACTTACAACCGTTGCATGTGTGTGGATCCAACTTCCCCAATTTTCTCCATCCCCAGCCATCACTGCCAGTAATAGACCCAGAAAATTGTACTCAAGGAAGGAAGGAAGGAAGGAAGGAAGGAAGGAAGGAAGGAAGGAAGGAGAGAAAGAGTGAAGAAGGGAGGGAGGGAGGAAGATAGGAGGATGAGAGGGAAGGAGGAAAGGAGGAAGGAAGGAAGGAAGGAAGGAAGGAAGGAAGGAAGGAAGGAAGGAAGGAAGGAAGGAAGGAGAGAAAGAATGAGGAAAGGAGGAAGGAAGGAAGGAAGGAGAGAGAGAGAGGGAGGGAAGGGAGGGAGGGAGGGAAGACGATGAGAGGGAGGGAAGGAATGTGGGAGGTAGGAGGGAAGGAAAAAAAGAAGGAGGGAGGAGGGAAGGAAGGAAGGCGGGAAGGAGAGAGGGAGGAAGATGAGAGGGTAGAAGAATAGAATAGAATAGAATAGAATAGAATAGAATAGAATAGAATAG